AATTTTAGATTTTTGAAGTAAAAGACAAAAACCTTAAAATATTTTTGGGAACTATATTATAGGCACTTTTTTAAAACTGGCTTGGCAAAACTGAAAGTAAATGCAAATGATGTACAGAGATAACAAAATTTGTTACACTTCAAAAGACAATTTTCTTTTATAAGATAATATGTTTTGTGTTTTTCTTGTACGCGGTGGTTTAGCAAAAATCATTACAGTTCTAAATGTAAAACTCAATTCGATTACGTTTTTGATTGAATTTTGTCTTAATCAAACCAGTAACCAATCTAGAGTAGCCACGTGAGTGTGAGCACATTAGGTGAGGCCAGAGGTCGCGTAAAATTGTCAATTGGGGGCCGAGGCAAGTATTCATATATGCATGTTCTACCTTAATAGCTTCAATTGAAATCAATTGTGGTTATGGATTAACAAGATTAAAACATATGAAAGCAAAGTGCTTTTAAGCACTTTGATAACTCTTAGGACGAAAAGTTACGCTACTAAATAAATATTTCTTTACATACGTCATTTTTGTATTGAATGGCTCTTTTAGAAGCACATTGCAGGGCTTTAATATTTATAACAAGAAGTGAACGAGAATTTAATAAAGTCTTTACTTATAAATTTTTATTGATCAAATCTTGGAGTATGTCATACTAGTATAATATAAATCCATCGCTTAAATTCCTGTCGAGAACGTTAAAGGAACAATATAGCCGTTTAAAACTTTGATATTGTTATAACCTGGTTTCTCGAGTGTAATTAGACCGGTTCTTTCATGCACCGTCCCCATAAGTTCGATGAGTTCCTACAATATTTATGTATCAAGCGTAAAAAGTGCACAAAAAAGCAACGTGAAATGAGAATAACGTCAGTATAAAAAATTATTAGAAAGACTAGAAAAATTCACAGCTTATTCTTTTTACATTTTAATTGCAAAAAAAAGTTGTAATTTAGCTGGCTATTTCTACGACGAATACGGTGCCCTTAAATTAACTGGAGCCCGCTGCCTTGTGGTTAGGGTTTGACTGCTTAAAGGCTAAGGTTGAGGTAACCCTGACAGAAACCTCCGGAGGACAAACCCCCCGCAGTCATGACCGGCCAGGCCCACCGACGTGTGGACACGCCTGGATGTTTGATAAGGTTTGCCCAGCTATGTTAAAAAGTCCCCAGCCATGGGTAAATGGTGTCCGGGAAAAACGCCAGCAAAAGGCGCTTTTCTGTGTTTTTAACTGTGTCGACGGCCTCTCCCTGCAACCGCGTAGTTTGACAGTTGTCACGATCATTTGTGCCACTGAAGATGGAACCGCGTGGACAAGCCAATCGAACATGGCCTGCACAACCATGCTCTTGTCACTGTGCATGCAGTCTGCAATCAAAAGTCCATCAAAAGTCCATCAATACGGATGACTCATGACGGGGCAGGCTTAGTAGGCTGGCAGCCTCTAGTGCAAAATTCGATTACTGGCGGCTTGGAGTCTAACAATCCCTGGATAGAATGAGAGATAATATCCTTCGCTATTTCACCAAGCGACGAGGATGCCCTTTTTAGGGTGCGCACCCTCCCCCAATCCGGGGAAGCTCCTGGAAAAGGTGGAGTAAAACGCACTTTCATCATTCGCCTGCTCAGCACATCGCGGCTGGGGGGTACTCACTCAAAGCGGTCGAAATAACAATGAAATTCGAAAACTTGCGGCCTGGAACGTAAGAACCCTAAATGACAATCCAGGAAACATTCGTCCTGAGCGTTCTACCGCTCTTGTAGCCCGTGAGCTACAACGTTATAATACTGACGTTGCTGCTCTAAGCGAGACAAGACTCCACGATTCGGAATCACTCACAGAGGCAGCGGGAGGATAGACTTTCTACTGGAAAGGCAAACATTCTTCAGAGAAACACGAATCAGGAGTTGGCTTTGCTATCAAGTCCTCCATCCGATTATCTGAGCTTCCAGTTGGACATTCGGACCGCATCATGTCACTTCGTTTGCCGTTGAATAAGAAACGTTCGCTCCATCTCATCAGCGTGTATGCTCCTACTATGCAGCATTCTGACATTATGAAAGATGCATTTTATGAAGATATGTCAGCCATCATTCGCACTATTCCAGCCTACAACAAATGTATCGTCCTTGGTGATTTCAACGCTAGAGTTTGCAATGATTTCCACACCTGGCCATCCGTTCTCGATCACCATGGCATCGGCAATGTAAACAGCAGTGGTAATCTTCTCTTGACAATGTGCGCTGAAAATAATCTGACCATCAACAACTCTTCTGGAAGCACGCTCGCTCTGGTCACTGGCACCTAATTGACTACATCATTACAAAGTCAAAAGACATATCAGACTTCCATGTCACTAGAGTCATGCGAGGTGCTGATTGTTGGACGGACCATAGACTTCTAATTTCAAGATTTCAAGATCAGCAAACCTGCACCCAGAAAAACTCAGAAAATTCCGAAGAAATTCTGCGTCTCGCAACTCAAATCAGAAGAAGTCGCAACCAGAATATCTCTGCTCCAGAGTGGGATAGTCTGAAGACGGTTCTTCTTAACTCAGCTGAGACTGTCCTTGGCTACCAAAAGCATTCTAATAAGGACTGGATTGATAAGAATGACGTAGAAATTGCCGAACAAATGAAAGCAAGAATGAATGAATCGGTGACAGACTAAAGGAAATAAAGAGGACCATAGCGAACAGACTCCGAGTTATGAAAGACAAATGGTGGCAAGAGCACGCAGAAGGACCCAAAGATATGCTGACACTAGAAATGCGAAAGAATTGTTTAGGTCGCTGAACGTCATTTACGGGCCAAAAAAGAGCTCCGTTGTCCCGCTGCTCAACTCGGACGGTACCAAGCTCCTTACGACATCCGACGACATCCGAGAATGGTGGACTGAGCGCTTCACACAGCTTCTGAGTGAGACTAGCGTCTATGATGAGGATGTCATCAACAACCTCCCTCAACGACCTATGATTGACACTCTTGGTGATGTTCCCACTCTCGAAGAAGTTGAAAATGCCATCAAACATATCAAGTGCAACAAAAGTGCGGGCCCTGATGGAATTCCACCAGAATTATTTGTGCACGGAGGACCCTTGGTTGCAAAACATCTGCATGGCATAACTGAAAAGATCTGATCCGATGAGACCATTCCTGCTGAACTTCGTGATGCAAACATTATCACCATCTTCAAGAAGAATGACCGCCATAACCCCAACAACAATCGAGGCTTCAGTCTGTTGGCTGTAGCCGTGAAAATAATCGCTCTAATGATGATAAACAGAATGCGCGATCCTAATCGGGGAACGACTGATATGATATTTGCCCTTCGACAGCTCATGGAGAAATCTAGAGAACAGAACCAAAAGCTGTACATGATTTTGCTGACTTTACCAAAGCGTTTGATATTGTGAAGCGTGAGGCACTTTGGACGATCGTCGCAAAAATGGGCTGCCCACCAAAATTTGTCAATATCTTAAATTTATTACATATCAACATGTGCGTCAAGATCTCGGTAGGCCGCGAGTTGACTCGTGACATTCAATACAGCAATTACTTGCTCCCACCCTCTTCTCCCTCTTTGCGACTGCTCTCTTCACATATGCCTTTGAAAACATACCTGAAGAAGGCATATACATACGATCCAGGATGGATGGCTCGCTCTACAACCTTCGTCGCCTCCAATACAGCACCAAATGCATGCGGACACTGATGAGAGAATTTCAATGTGCAGATGATTGGGCTTATGTTGCCAACTCGGAGGAATCCCTTCAGCGCATGATGGATAGCTTCGCGGCTGCTACCAAATCCTTCGGCGTTATCATCAACACGAAGAAAACAGAAGTCATGTCTCTCTCGTACTCACCAATCACATCCCCAATCACTGTCAATGACACTTCGCTCGCGAACGTCCAATCCTTCAAGTATCTTGGCAATACTGTCACCAGCGACTGCTCCATTGACAAAGAACTTGACAACCGCATACAGTGTGCCAGTTCGTCATTCGGCAGGCTGTGGAAATGTCTGTGGTCTTCGCATGACATTAAAGTTACTACAAAGATCACCGTGTATAATGCAGTGGTACTGTCGACTCTCTTGTGTGGTGCCGAATCTTAAACGTTATACCGTAGACACGTCACACGTCTAAGTCGGCTACAACAACGTCACCTACGCGCAATCCTCCGCATTTCCTATCAACAAAGAGTAACGAATGACGAAGTTCTGACGAGAGCCAACTCCATGGACATTGAGATTACCCTTGCCAAAATGCAGCTAAGGTAGGCTGGTCATGTTGCTCGAATGGCAAACAATCGATTACCCAAATAGCTACTCTTTGGAAAGCTCGCTAAAGGAAAGAGACGTACTGGTCGTCCACTCCTGCGTTGGAAAGACTCTCTCAAATACACTTTGTAAACATGTCAAATTTCAATAGATAATTGGCAGCTCGAAGCGGCGGATCGATGCGACTGGAGAGACAAGTCACGTAACGGTCTCAACAAGATGGAGGATTTGAGGCGGCAGAGCAACGCTGTTAAACGATCAAGACATCACGCTACCAGGAACGCCTCCATGTCACAGATTCGGGAGAATTTCGTTGCCAACACTGTAACAGGACCTGCGCAAGCGCATTGGCATGTTAAGTCACGAGCGCGCTTGTGGAAGTCAGTGAACTAGATGGACAGTTGCAGACAGCCATCGTCGATTTGACGGGCAGCATCTCTCTCTCTACGACGAATTTTTATGGCATGCATTAAACGTTCAAAAGTTAGAAAAATTTACTGTTAAAACGTTACTTAACCTATGTTCTCTAGTCTCTACGATCATTTAGATGAAATGAGAACTTTCTGTAAAACCTGTCATCTCGCACATCAAACAGAATCCCCAGCATTTCCCTCAACCAGATGTAATTCATTACTGGGAGTGCTTCAGTAGTTGAGCTTCACGCATGCGTGCTTACAATGTACATAACTATTTCTGCTTGCTTGATGTATTCTAGATATGCAGTTTCAAGAAAAAACGTGACAATACTTATCTTCGTGTGTTCTACGCTGGCAACCTCCGTATTTCCAACTGCAACGGGTGTTGCAAGCGGTGGTATTTCAAATTCAATGGAAAAGAATGTAATCCTGCAATTGAAGGAGTTTACTACATGTGGAAAGGTAAAGGAACACAAGATATCCATCGTCATCGTCAGATTGAGGGATATTGTGGCAACATCGATAACGGTACTGTTAATGTTGGATTCTATGTTGGTAATTGTCAGGGATACTCCAATGCAGACGCCTTCAGTGGATGGAATTCAGTCTCTCGAATTGTGATCCAAGAAGTTCAACCCCCTCAGAGTTGAATCATTCCAAAACTGACTACTGAACTTTTATTGCTCAAATTTTTGTATTTTTATGTTTTATGGTATTTAAAGCTTAACATTCAGAAGCTGTTATCTTAAGTGTTTTAGCTAATGTTACAAACCTTCAGTCCTTTTACGCATGCTCGATTCCCTATATCTTTAAAAAGCAACAAAAATGTTTTTCAGTGTATCAATAATTTGTGCAATTATTTTTGTTGTTCATTGCCATTGTTGTTCATTGACTACATCAAACTTTCTTGAACACATTTGTTTACTTCTTTTATATGTACTCTATAGTACTAATTTCCAAATCAACATTACCGTCTACTGTCTTTATCATCTACTATATCCTTCTCTGCTTCTTGTAACCTCATTTATCCTGTTGAATATCTCTATCATTACGTCTGTGTGATATCACTTGATAAAACATGAAATCTTTCTCTTTTTTGAGGTAATATTCATTAGTCTATTTCTAGCGCATTCTTCCACCTCTCTTTAGTGGTATGTATACCTGCTTCTTACAATAATTTTTGCATGTTTGTGTCCTCGGTTCGAAATTTGTTCATTATCTTCTTATTAGTAATCTACAAGTCTACCGAGTACTACATCTACCTCAAATACATTTTTGATCATATTTACCCAGGGCAGCAGGGCCGAAGACAAAACTTTAATTGTGGGGCGGGGGGGAAACATTTGTGTACAAATGATTTTTTTTTAAGTAATTTGGTTTCTATAGAAATCAGTCGAGTACAACTGAATATACGAATAGACACCCATCCGTTCTAGCTGTAGCCTTAACTGAAGTCCTTATATATTTTGTGGCCAAAATACGACGTAACGATAATTACGGCTTTAGACCTACTTGTCAATTAAAATATGTTTAATATCTATACACTATGTTGTTTAGAATCGTACGCTTGACAGTAAAGCTATATACATTTATATCATTGATGCTTACTAGATGATTGTTCGAATATCTTGCTGGTAACATAAGCCCGGATTTGTTGAAGCTTATATTGGGCGTGAGGAAATATTTTTGTGCTAAATATTTTGATTTGTGAAATAATTGATTTGGAAATGCCTTTTTAAGTTGCAGTACATTGATATACACCCAAAGTTTATTGAAGTGGCGTATCTTATTTTAATATTTTGGTCAAAAACATAATACAGGTTAACATGATTGAATTAGTTTACAGGTTCAAGAGAAATTAAGTATACCAGGAATAGATTATCTAAATCATGGTTACATTAAAAACCCAGTGTAAAACTTCTCTTCCCGGCAGTTCTGCATGCGTAGAATGCATATAAAGGAAAGTTTTACCAAAGAATAATAAAGTGATTTTTGGAGGCTCCATTATCAAAAGTTTAAAAAATTATTCACATATCATGGGGTTATACAACGAAACAGCCAATGAACACTTTTTTCAATTTGTTTTGAAATAAGATTAAACAACTATTAAAAGATAGGAAACGAGTTTTAAATAGAAGAAAAGTTCCACTCAGATGAAAAACAAAAATGATGTCGTAAGTGACGCTCCATTATTCATTGCCTTGTCTTTAGATTCTATATCATACAATAAGATGTATGCAGCTTTAACTAAACCAAGGTTGATTCCTGGAATCATGAAAGCTTCTCCAATGTCTCAAGCAAGTGCATTGGAGGGATTTCACTCAGTTCTTAACCAGTTTGCACCCAAAACGATCAGCTACTCTTTTCCTAGAATGTTCTGCAGGTATTCTATGAAACATGTGTGATGAAACACCTAAACACCTATGTGTCATTACAGTTTTTATTCCCTTGTGCCAATTTAAACTCTTTCAAGAAATTGAATGCAATTTTTATTTCATGAAGGCATATCCTTGCTGTAACTCACTTCAACAGCAATTTGGACAGGGATAATCAAGAGGTTAATGGTAGTTACCCAGGTTAAAGTTCATTATCCAAAATTTAAAAATGGTGAAGCTGTTGTAAGAAATGTAAAAGTTGCTTAGGATTTTGCTAAGGTTGTTAATATATTTCTCCTACTGCCTGATACCATGTGTTAAATGCCATAATAGTCAAAGCTTAAAAAGAAATGAGTACCATAAAATAAAAGTTTGAATAATTTGCACATTGCTTCTCCAGGGTATGTTGAAGATATATATCAAGTGTTGTGCTCTGCACTCATTGATGAGGAAACATTGAAAAAAGCCAAAGATGATCTATTACGAATGACTCCATGGCCAATGATTTCCATGTTGGACAAGCAATCAAAAAGTGAAGCTATCTCAAAAAAAGAAACAAGACAAAGCACGCCAGCTGTACATGTTCCCCCAACTAAGCCAGTTTTTACAAGTCTTGCTTTGAGTTAATTTGAATCTTATTTTTGGAACTGACTCACTTTATTGTTTGATATAGCAGAAGTATCACCTGATCAGAGAAATGAGAGTGCAGCACCTCGATGTACTGTGTACAAGAATTGGATGAAAGGCTATAAAAATATAATTAACTGTCCAAAATACCAAAAGTAACCACTTTTTTAGGAGCTGGTGGTATGAGCCCAGTTACTTGGGATTTAGTGAAGTGTAAAATGACTGCATGGAAAGAATAAAAAGAAAAGAAATTGTAATTTAGTTTGTTTTGTATAACAAGAATAAGTGTGAATCGAAGATGCAATACATATCAGTGGCTAAAATCATTCCACACTTCACTTAATCCCTACTAACTGGGCTTATGCACGCAACACCTAAAATGATATATAATGTTATGTCATTTTACAAATTGTCCTCTTCATACCCTGCAAAGTGTTCATTTTTTTTAAATTAAAAGTTGTTCGAATAACATGGTAAGCACAAGCTGGAATTCTTTTGTCTTGAAGAATGCAAAGTACAATTCTTGTAAACTGTCTATATGCAATAACTTGAAAAAACTGGAAAAGGCATGATACACAAGGTCCATTAAAACAGGTAGGAGTCCATAAAATACAAATTTTGCAAGTGTGCATTCATAGATAACCCAGACAGAAGCATTTAACTGTTAATTTTAACAAACCTTTGCTCCAAGAATCCTTTACGATATCTAACTCCATCTCGTCTTTGGTAAAGATTGGCAGCTAAATTTTATGCCCATCGATTGAGGCAAATGGCATCAAATCCTGGATGGTCTGTAATGCATTTTGGCTGCCTTCCTAATTCCGCTACTATCATGATCTTGCATTTCAATCATGCAATTGATAATTTCGTGGCAACATCTACATTATTTTGTATTAACCAAGAGAGGAACACGACAGTTACCACAATTGCACCTAAGAAAGTTATCTGTCAAAAGCTTCGGCTACAATAAATAAACAAATTTTCCAACTTTTCTTACCAAGAATCAAGAGGAGCCTCATTTTGCACTCTGCGTTCGAGCTCTTCTGTTTGGCGTCTTTCTTCTTCTGTCTCTCTATTATAGTTTTTTAACCACTCATTATCAGCAAGTGGTTCGTTTTCATACGCTGCAACTTGGCCGTACTCAAAATCGCCATCGCTGTTTCGGAGCGCATTTGATGACGATTGATCTTCGTCTTCTAAATCGAATTCCCGCCTGCTCAACTCAATATTTTCCACTGTTGTTGCTGTACTCGACTCAGAATCGGATGTCAACATGTTTCGTACAATTTTTATGTTAATTTCAAAGCAATATATAAAGAATTGTTATTTCACACTGTGTTGTTTTGTATGCAGCGCATTCATACGTTCCTTACATGACGTCACAAACCTCTCGTCTTAAGTCCTCTCAGCTGTATTCATATGTCTGGTTCATATGTCGTCGTATTATGTGTACAGGAAAAGTCCTCTCAGAGGCGCGGAATTTCTCAATAGCAAGCTAATTCAAACCGCTAAATTGTTTTATTTCTTTACGAAATTTTCTTCGAAATCCTATTTTCCACAGTTTGAATTTTAAAAGTTCAACGAATTTGGAAAGGCTGTATGTGCACTTTAAATGTTCATCACACTTTAAGCAGTCATTGGCATGATCATATGAAAAAATACGAAAAAAGTATGGCAATCTGCTCTTCATTTCAAAGAACGAAAAATATATATTTGAGTGTAGTTTTTAATGATGAAGATCAAAAACACTAAGAAATATCATATATTGATAATGTAGTAAGACAAAGTTTGAGTCAATGGCATATATAGTGCGACAGCAGTACGATAAAGTAATGCTTTTTACGTATTGAAAAAGATTTTAAGAGGAAAGTCCAAAAGTTACAGTCTCGCTGCAGTCTTTGTGGAACAATTTAATGGCGTGTTTATGTTAACACGTTTAATTATTGCTAATAGGAATATCAACATGTTATATGATTGTGGATGTAGATCGTCCAGGTTAGTGTGGTCCTGAGAAGGACTGTTGGTGTTGATGCTGACTGACGTTTCGACAACCTTAGCGGTAGTCATCTTCAGAGTTATTGCTGTATTCATATGTCTGGTTCATACGTCATCGTATTATGTGTACAGGAAAAGTGTGAGTGTCAACCGAGTATTGTCTTCGTGGTTAGTCTAGAGTAATGCAAAACATATGTATGGTATCTATTTCCCTAAACCATTTATGCAACTCGTGATAGTTAAAAAAATTTCTGCAAGATCTTCCATTTCTGCATTTGTTGAAAGAAGTTTCATAAATTTACTTAACGAATGTACGTACTATCATAGTCATTCATCTATATCTTATGATTTTTAAAACAACTTGAGACAATAAACCAAATCCATGAACGGTTTTTCTGGGGCACCATTCGTCAATAGATAAGATGTATGAGTTTTTAAGATTTAAGATTTATAAGATTTAAGAGATTTAAGATTTAAGAGTACATGATAATTTGTTAAAAGAGCATCAACAGGACTTAACTATCATTCTGCTTATTGTATCCTCAGCATGTGTATGTGGCTGCAAAGGTTTGCTAAGTTTCAGAACGCTTTTTCAGAAGAATCGAAACTTCTACTTCCTTTATTTGGTTAAAAATATTGCACAAAGCAAAAGGTCATCAAAAGATCGATAAAAGATTGATAACCGTTGTTGCTAGCAAAACTGAAATCAATTCGTTGCTTTCCTAGCATCAGTTGAGTGAGTTGATGGCAATGAATGTGTGAAGTTGGGCTTAATTCTCTGGCATTAAATATTAACTGAGGAGGTATATAGGAAATATTTCACTCAAAATAAGCGATTGAAGAAAAAGGGTTTCTGTTCACAATACAAACGATTCGTTGATTTATGGTTTTGTTGTTGGTATGTACGTCGTATTGTAGA